CAGTGTTGAGCGTGGGAAATCCTATTATGGTAATTGAAAGGTGGGGCCTTTAAGAGGTTATTAGATTGTGAGGACTGTACACTGTGAATGGATCAATCCATTTATGGAATAATGGGCATGGTGCTTATGGCTTTATAAGGAGCATGAGCGAGCTGGTTAGCTCTCTCTTGCTCAAGCCATTTTCCATGTGATACCCTGTGTCAATGTAGAGCCATGACCAAGAACAAGACCTTCACCAGATGTGTTCCCTGGACTTTGGACTTCCCAGCCTCCAGAACTGCAAGCAATGAATATTGTTTCTTTATAAATTACCCAGTTTCAGGTATTCAGTTATAAGCAACAGAAACGGACTAATACAAACATCTAAATGCCACTTAAAAGCAAAAACAAATGCTGGTGTTACACCTCAACCACGCCTCCCTCCTTCCTTCTCCCACCCTATTTCACTCCCCCTTCTCCTCGCCCCCGACTGCTTGGCAACAACATCTTAGAATGTAAAAAAGTAATAATATTAATAAATAAATTTTAAAACTAAATAAATAAGTGGAATGCTGGTGTTACAGAATAAACTGCTTGAAGATTTTATCTCTGGGGATGAAAATAATTATTTTGACTTTCTTCTTTGTACATTTCTCTGTTTGATTTTTTTCATGTAGTGCATTTAGAATCTAAAATAAACAAAACAAATAAAAATCAAGACATACTTCCTCTGCCACACTGACCTCTCCTTTTTCTTAAATCCTTTGTACAAATGGTCTGTAACACACAATGCAGCCTTGGTCATATTTTATCCTAAGTAGAAGATTCCACAAGTGATGCTGAAGGGCCACTGACCACAGGCTCTGGGCAAGACCCTTTCACAGACATGATCTTTCCTTGGTCTGAGCATTTTGAATTTCTTGATCCCCTGACTAGGTATGTAAGCTCCTTGAATGTGGAAAACATATCTTTTACTTGTTAATATTCCTTAAAGCATGGAATAGAGAACAGACCTTCAGAAGGGAAATGCATAAATAAAGAATACATCTATATAGGAATGGTCAGGAAAAAAATTACACGACGATCAACTTTTTTTTTTTTTTCCTTTTTGTCTTTTTTCATGACCGGCAACGGATCGCAACCCTCA